GTACTATATTATATTTGATATTCTAATTTAAATAATTATATATTGATTCATATATTATTAATATATTACAACAAATCCATTCCGTGCATCGCACGGGTGCAAATACTAGTATTATAAAATAGTGTAATACAATTCCTATTGTAATCAATCAATCCATCTATACTATATATAATAACAAAACCCTGAAATTTTAACTTCTCGCCCAATTCCTAAAAAATTTTTTTTTCCTAATAAAATATATTGATTTATACTTTCCCATTCGTACAATAATTCTGCGCTAAAATTCTATTCTAATATTATAAAATAGTGTAATACAATTACTATTGTAATCAATCAATCTATATTATATATAATAACAAAATCTTGAAATTTTAACTTCCCGCCCAATTCCTAAAAAATCTCTCCTCCTAATCAAATATATTCTATACTATATATAATAACAAAATCTTGAAATTTTAACTTCCCGCCCAATTCCTAAAAAATCTCTCTTCCTAATCAAATATATTCTATACTATATATAATAACAAAATCTTGAAATTTTAACTTCCCGCCCAATTCTTAAAAAATCTCTCTTCCTAATCAAATATATTGATTTCTACTTTCCCATTCCTACAATAATTCTGCGCTAAAATTATATTCTAATATTATAAAATAGTGTAATACAATTCCTATTGTAATCAATCAATCTATACTATATATAATAACAAAATCCTGAAATTTTAACTTCCCGCCCAATTCCTAAAAAATCTCTCTTCCTAATAAAATATATTGATTTATACTTTCCCATTCGTACAATAATTCTGCAAACTATTCATATTCTAATCTATATCTATACTATATATCAGTGTTGCAAAAATCGCGTTACTGGCCGCGGCGATAAAGGCCAGAATCAGCCTCTTCCGCGGCCACCTCTCCGGGTGAACCGGCGATTAATTTTTTTTTTTTTTTAAGTTGTAATGTGTAAAAACTTCGGCACGACATAAATTTTGACTCAGTTGTCCGTTTTAGACAAATGATTTTTTGAAATCCCATATTTTTTCGAGATCTATCCATCGCAAACTGCCGTAGGCGGTTTGGCCCACCAATTTCTAAAAAAAAAAATGCTTTATTAAATAGTTTCTAAGAAAAAACTATGAGAACATTATAGTTTATTAATGAATTTTTAAAATTTTTTATTAAAAAATTGTCTCGTGCATTATTTAATAATCTTTCTTTATAATTGGTCAAATTATTTAATTATGGTAAATTAGAGAATAATTAATGATGGTAATAGAAATCCTAGAAGAATATAGAATTGAAGAATATGTAATTATTGTTATATTATTATTGTGACTCACGGAATACAATACAGGAATATTTAATTATGGTTATATTATTATTGTGCCTCACAGCCATTATATACTAACAGAACTTGAGAGAAAGTAATAATAATAATATAAGTGGTAATAATAATATCTAAAAGTAATTAAGTGTTAATAATAATAGTAAGAATATTAACTTAAGAATTATAACATAGAATAAATCGTAATAATTAATAACTATAGTCTAGGATTAAATTTGAAATAGTCAGGAAAGATAAGCGACCTCTGGTAAAATTAACTCTTAAATAATTATATATCAATTTAAATATTTTTAATATATTACAACAATTCCATTCTGTGCATCGCACGGGTGAAAATACTAGTACATATAAAAAATATTAATACCATAACAACCTAAACCACTTCAATAATACACAAATAGAATTGAAATATTAAGTTTTGGTCTGATCTGAATAATCAAAAGAAGATTAATTAAACGAAAAAAAAAAAAATAAAAACTTAACCTTTTTTTTTTTTTACATGCATAAAAATCAAATGATTTTGAAAGTTCTTGATTTATAATTTTTAATGCTTAACTTTGAATGTTTATGTATTTAGTTGGACTAATTATTTGACCAAATTTTATGTTAAATTTTATATTATATATATTTTTAATACATTTTAACATATTCGTAGTATATGTTTAACAATTATTTCAACTCTAATTGTGATGGGGTTCGAACCTAAGACATTTCTTATATAAATTAATGGGTAAGTTAAAAATAATAAATAGTTAACGGAATATTTCGTTACTAATATTTATACTAACGGAATTTAGGTTATTTAAAGAAAGAAAATAATATAATAGAAGGTAATTAGGTAAATAAGGAAAATCATTAAAGAAATACTAAAATCAAACTAATATGAACCATTCATTTTAAGAAACAATAGTACTGACATTTTTTTTTACAGTTAAGGACCTTATTAAATTGACTCTTATTAGAATTGTAGATGTAGATTGTAGATGTAGATGTAGATTTGATACGATTCAGATTTCATTTAGGGTTGAGAACACGAATGGTCTCTAGTTTTCTTATGCACGTAATTATAATTATTTATTTATTTTAATTAATCATTTAAATTTCAAATTCTAAACAACAATTCAACAATATATATTTCAAAATTTTCAATCTAAATGACTGGTCTTTTCACTATATTCCTAATCGGTGAATAAGTTCGCTCATGCTTTGGTAAGGGCCGCTCGTTCTCAAACTGGTCCTCTAAATTGGTTTTCTTTTATCCCTTCTTGTATTGAACATTAGTTCTTTTACGCGCTTTGTGCGAATGAAATAATGTCCGCCCAATGATTATTTTTAAATAAGTATTTCAAAGTATATTAATACAATATTATATCGGAGATGTTCATGCATAGGTAAATAAATATTGAATTTGTTTATTTAAATCGGCATGCAATAATACTTTGAAATACTTATTTAAAAATATTACTCTTATAGAAATTAATGAGTAAATTAAAAATAGTAAATAGTTAACGGAATATTTCATTACTAAAGTTTATACTAACGAAATTTAGCTTATTTAAGGGAAGAAAATAATATAATAGATGGTAAATAAGGAAAATCATTAAAAAATACTAAAATCAAAATAATATGAACCATTCATTTTAAGAAACAATAATACCCACATTTTTTTTTGTTCCAGTTAAGGGCCTAACATTATTGACTCTTATTAGAATTTGTAGAGTAGATGTAGATAGATTTGTTTTAATTGATATTTGGTTTTTGGTTTTCAAAAAAAAAAAATGGATGGTCTACTAATTTGGCAGAATATGTATAACCCCCTTAACTGATGTTGTTTTCTTTCGGGTTTCCCCCTTCTAGTAAATTAAAAAATAAAATAAAAATTCCAAACCAACCCAACCTCTTCACATGCGTCTAGCATCCAACAACAACACTCGGTAACTCGCAAAGAAAATTTGAGAATAAATACAAATTGTGAAAATTTGGATTGAGGAATTGGGGATTTAGTGTATATATTTCAATAAAAAAATTTGTAAATATAAAAATAAGAAAAATTATAATTTATGTCCCTCCATAATATATCAATTATCAATGTTACCCCTGAATTATAAGTGGTATAAATATTGCCCCTCAATTTTCAAAACGGTATATATATTGCCTCCCGTACGATCATTTTGAAAATTGAGAGGCAACATTAAAGACATAAATTATAATTTTTCATATATAAATAAATCAATTTTTTGATTTTGTTTAATTTTTAACTGAATTGAACCAAAATCATTCGATTTATAATGATTGAAACCCCAACCACCTACTTAAAGATAACATTCTCTACTACTCAACCAAACCATCTCTTTGGTTTGAAATGGGATAATATTCATATGAATGTTGACAAAAACATTCAACAAAAGCTATTTTCAAGTTTTAACAAGTGTTACCCTGGGTAATCGAACGTGCATCCTCCAATGTTGATTAAGCTTTATAAGCGTGTGACAAACCAAAATTATTTACGGAGTATTTAACTTGATTAATTAATTTAAATGAAATATATTGTGTGATTCTATTATGAAAAGTATTCGATGGAATAATTACGGAGCGGAATAATACGGTGCGGGTCAAGTAAACTCGTGACAAAACAACCCATGTGGTGAACCGGGGTCGACCTCCTTGGGCTCGGCCACCCCAGGGGTCGGCCACCTAGTGGCAGGCTACTTGGCCGAGCTCCGTGCTCGGTCAAGGTTCGGGGTCCTCGCGTTGTCCGAGTCGTCCGGCGCTCGTTGCGGTCCAAAGCGGTTGAAGGACCCTAGTCAATCTCTCCGGATTGTGGGGCGACATAGGGTATAAAACCCTCCTTTGTACCTAACCTCCAGTTTTTTTTTTTTTTTTTTTTTTCTTTTTACTGTAAAGCATGTGTATGTATATCGTGTTATGCGTTTCTGTACATCATGTTATGCAATTTTGTACATTTTGTACGTGAAATTTATTAGTAGTTGTATAACACAAAACATAGTGTCTTATTTTACGAATTTATGTCTTGTATTGTGAAATTATGTGCCTATAAGACATAAATCAAATATGAGAAATAAGTAAAATAGAAAACATGTGTATCTATATCGCATTATCGTGTTATACGTTTCTGTACATCATGTTATGCAATTCTGTACATGAAATTGATTAGTAGTTGTATAACACAAAATATATTGTGTATCTTATTTTACGAATTTATGTCTTGTATTATGAAATTATGTGCCTATAGGACATAAATTATTTACATAACTCAAATATGAGAATAAGTAAAATAGAAAACATGTGTATGTATCTTGTAGTAAAATAGAAAACATGTGTATGTATATCATGTTATGTGTTTCTGTACACCATGTTATGCAATTCTGTACATTAAGCGTAATGATTCTGTACATGAAATTGATTAATAGTTGTATAACACAAAACATAGTGTGTGTCTTATTTTACGAATTTATGTCTTGTATTATGAAATTATGTGCCTATAGGACATAAATTATTTACATAAATCAGATTTGAAAATAAGTAAAATAGAAAACATGTGTATGTATCTCTGCGTTTCTGAACATCATGTTATGCAATTCTGTACATTAGGCATAAGGATTATGTACCTAAAATAAATTAAAATTTGTGTTGAAACATGAGAAACGAGAAGTTACAGAGTCTGTTAAAGCTTAAATATAAAACAACGTCGTTTTGATCCAAGGTCCACAATGCTATGTGGACCTTGGTCCACGATATAAATTGCCAAGATTTTTTCCTTGGGCGGGAAAACTTTTTTCTTTTTTATTTTCCAAAAGTTGTGGTTTTTTATAGGCATGGCCAGGACGCCAGGGCAACTGCACAGGGCCCCCAATTTTTAAAAAAATGAATACGGTTCAAATTGGTCACTGAACGTAACCTGAAAATGCAATTAGACCAATGAACGAAAAAAAAATGCAATTAGGCCACTGAACACTTCAAATGTATGCAATTTCACCTGATAGCATGTTACCATCAATTTTAGCAGGTTACCTACTTACATGGCAGCTGAGTTGACATTTTTAAATAATTTTAAATAAATTTAAATAATAAGTTTTTTTTAAAAAAAAAATTAAAAAAAAAAAAGACCGGCCACCCCGTCGTTTTATTTTTAATTCTTTTTAAATTATTATTAAAATTTATTAAAAATTATTTAAAATGCCAACTCAGCTGCCACATAAGGAGGTAACCTGCTAAAATTGATGGAAACCTGCTTTCCGGTGAAATTGCATACATTTGGAGTGTTCAGTGGCCTAATTGCACTTTTTTTTTTTTTTTTTCGTTCAGCGGCCTAATTGCATTTTTAGGTTACGTTCAATGCCAATTTAAACCTTATTCCTTTAAAAAAATATTATAGATATAATCTATTATTTTTTATACTTGATAATTTTATTTTATTTTTGAATTCATAAATTGGTCTTAATTGTAATTGAAAATAAAATTTTATAATGAATTTACACCGAAATTTTGTATTTAAATATGAACAAAAATGACACTTTTAAATTAACTGTTGAATTGTATTCTTACTTTGTTAAATTTTTATGCATTATATTTGGACAAAAGATTTTAATTACATTTTTATTTATGTTATAGAATACAATATATAACTTGGAGCCCAAATGGATTTGAACTCTATTACCTCAGTTATAGAGATTTTCTAGATCTTCTGGACTTCTATCTTCATTTCAGATGTTTTTGAGATTATGTTGTTTACTTTTATAAATAAAAATCTTGTCATTATAGTGAAATTTAAATATCTCTCTATTTATTGTCTTTGTCTTTGTAATTTACTTTATTATATTTTTTTTTTTTGGAAGCTACTGGCTCTATTATATTGTAGTATCTGTTCATATACTTTCTCAACCTACTGAAACACAAAGAATCAATAACGCCTACATTGAGGCTCGAATTCATAATCTTCCAAATGGAAGTCCAACCCGGGTACCATTAGACTATATAGTCCTGATTACTTTATTATATTTAGATTATATCTCTAACAAAAATAATAAAAATTTAAATTAAACTATTAGACAGGACCTATATTTTGAGTGGAACAACATGAGTAAAGGATTATGTCTACCTTTCTTTTACCTATATACAACGTGCAAGCTAAGTATTAATTGATTCACCAATCCATTATCAGCGGGTCGCACAGCAATTAATACTCATAATACTATTAGCTGACATTATGTCGATAGTATTAATTGATTCACCAATACATTTTTGAGCGGGTTGCGCAGCAATTAATACTCCTAGTACTATTAGCTGCCACTACATCGACAGATCGTGTACCATGTCATAGAGGTTGCATTAGGGCAACTCTAAAAGGGGATTGTTTAGAGATTTTCAAACAGTAAAATCCGAGTGAAGGAAGTCTTAACAAATGTGGAGAAAAGACTTTAGAGAGGTTCTTTCTTCTGCAAAAATGGAAGTTTTGTCAGAAAAAAAAAAAAAAAAAAAGGTAGATGCGTGTCTCACCTCGGACGAATTTCAATTGAGAGTGGCCGCCAGCTGGCGGCCACTCTCAATTGAAATTCATTGTATTAATTTTTTTTTAACTCATTTTATTTTATTTTTTCTTTTGCTTGTAGCTGGCCGTTGGCCAGTTGCTTTTCTTTTATTTTTGTTTATTTATTTATTATTTTTTTTAATGTTTTTTCATGTTAAATTTTATTATTAAATTATAATTTAAAAAAATTTGTAAACACTTATAATTTTACATTTATTTTAATTCTAATATGTATAATTTAAATATGATAAAAATAATGATTTTTATAATAATAATAATAAATAAATAATTAATTAAAATATAATAGTATAAAATGGTGGGTCCACAAAAAGTTGTGAAAAAATTTAGAACTAATGGGAAGAAGAGATTTTATGATTGATTGAGATAATGGATGATGAGGTGGATGTTGGGGCCCACAAAAATCTGGGAAAAAATCCTCAACTATTGAGGATGCCCTTATGAATCTTAGTTCAAAATAACATTATTTTATTGAACAAATTTTAGTTTTGGTCTTGTGACTATTAGGGTGTTGATAATTTGAGTACGTGACTTTCAAAACTCTCAATTTAGTCCTTTAATTATGTAATTGTTAACAAATTTGGTCCTGACGGCTAAATTGCCGGCCAATTTTGGCCGGAAAAATGTAATTGGGTTCAATTTTTTTTTTTTGACAAGGATAAAACGGTCATTGCAAGGAAAAATAAAAGGGCTACACCGTCGCCATCTTTGCCCGCGACTTAGGTATACAATATAATTAATCACTCCGATCTATTGAAGTTAAAATCCCTGCCTACCTACTTTAATTAAGCTTGCTTGATTTGATTTTGCGAATTGAATTGAATTGAAAATGATATAAGTGGTGCAGGTAGATTGTCGAGGTTTGCAGAGGAGATAGCCCGAGAAGAAAAGGCGCAGGTTTTCACGATCCGAATCGACTCCTTGGACTCGCAGAGCATACGGGAAGCATTCGAAGACGTTCTGTCCTTGGGATTCGTGAAAGTTCTGGTGTATAATGTGTACCACCAGCTCTCCTGGCTCGCCACCAACTTCACCGATATTCGAATCCAAAGCTTCGAGAAATCCCTCGCCGTCTCCTCCGTCGGCGGCTTCCTCTGTGCTCAACAGGTTACGTTAACTTTTATTTTAAACTTCCATGCATAACAACAAATTAATGATAATATTAATAAATGTTTGTTGCATGGGCCGAGAATTGAATTGGGATTCCAGGTGGTGTCATGCATGGTGGAAAGTGGGAGACGGACGATTCTCAGAATGCTATGACCAGAGACCCCGGAGGAATTTTCTCCCTTTTTATTTTCCCTTGCAATAATGACCATTTTACCCTCACCAAAAAAAAAATCAAACCCAATTATATTTTCCGGCCAAAATTAACCGGCAATTTGGCCGGCAGGACCAAATTTGTTAATAATTTCATAGTTAAAGGACTAAATTGAGAAATTTGAAAGTCACGTACTCAAATTATCAACACCCTAATAGTCACAGGACCAAAACTGCAATTTCTTCTTATTTTATTTTAAATGTATTATATTTAATAGCATTGTATTATTTCATAAATAATTAAATAAATAAATAAATATATATATATATATATATATATATATATATATATATATATATATATATATATATATATATATATATATATATATATATATATATATATATATAGGCACGCTCTAATGAGAACAAGCGTCCAGGAGAAAAATAAGAACCATTTACAGTTATCCACGTGTCTAAATCAACGAATAAGATGTAATTTAAAAAAAATGGTGCGGTGACATTTGCATAATAAGAATAAGACGATGACGTTTCACCACAGTAATAAGTCGAAGCGATGCGGTTTGGATCTCGATCGGAGGTTACTGCTGCTGATTCTCTTCCCAATCTCCCTCTTCCTCATCGCTTCGCTCTCTCCGTTCCCCTACGCCGCCGTGATCAGCCCCCTATGCTCGATCCTCGGCGGCTTCGCCTCGCTGCTAGTTGCTAATGCGCCGGCAAGGAGGTCGGCGGAGTTGAACCGCTCCAGGATCGCCGTTTGCTTGGTACGCGGGGCTCGGGGGTTCGAGCTCACTGGCCCCTCCATTATCTAAATGATTCTCAGAGTGTATCCAAATTCTGACCTCTTCCTATAGAGTCCTTTGGATTCTAATGTGTACAAGCTCTCCAAGGGAAGGCAACCAGTTCTGGTTGCCTTTCGTCGTATATTAAGTCGTCGCCGGTTCCTGGATTTAAAATGACATGTAATCACAGGTCATTTACCAATTCATGGGCTTCATGGACTCAATTTGATATATTTGAGCGTTTAATTGCACATTTTTAAAGTTTAGGTGCCTAATTGACGTTTGGTGTAAATTTTATGGGCCTATCTGACCCTTTTATTAAAACATATACTATGAATATATTAGAGTGTATTAAAAAATACAATATAAAATTTAACATGAGCTTTTGTCAATTAATTACAATCACGCATTGACATTGATGAAACGGTACACCTAATTTACCGTATATATTCAACACAGTTGAGGAATTATGCCTATTATCATTGTCTTTTTGAGGATGAGGATTTAGTTATGTTTTTGAAGGTGCTTTGCGTCAAGACGATAAATTTGCAGTGAAGCACACCACGGGATTAGATCAAATCAATAATTCATTTCTAACAGGAGTAGCGACAAGAGGAAGCATTGATCATGCTAATTAATATGTTTTGTGTTGCAAAAAATATGCTTGGTACTCTACAGTGAGGAGGCTTTCCTCTAAAACTGTTATTGCACTAGTTAATCCAACATTGCTGCCATAGGTCATAGTTATGCATTCTTGAAATATTTACTTCTATAAAAAATTTGATAAGCTTGTATTGATATACGTCAGGATACCAAATGATACTTTGATAAATTCTAAAACACTAATTTAAAAGTACATAGTCAGCATTATATTATTTTGGACAAATATACCCACCATTATAACTTCCGTTATCTTTTTCACTATTATTACCATGCACATGCGTTCACAATATATTTTATAATCTTCTTCTTCTTCTTCTTCTTCAATAATAATAATAATAATAATAATAATAATAATAATAATAATAATAATAATAATATATACACATTATATATTGGAATTATATGTTAGTTATTTTCTAAAATATAATTATCAAATTTATAAAAATATTTATTATTATTATTTAGAATAATATAAATATCTAAAATTTAAATAAATTTAAAATTTTAATATAAAGTACTAATATTAGACACTTATTTCTTCTGTGTATCGCGCATAAAAAAAAAATACTATTTTAGCTTTCAATATAGATAGAACATTCGGAATGCATAAACTTACGTGTTCATCATTGATTTCAAGCATTTTGATTGCAAATAAACTCAATAATGACCAATCTTTAAAAAAAAAAAAAATCTTATGACAATCCATATATAGATCAATGTCATATGCATTTCGTTGATTTGATTAACCAAAAAAAACAACGATTAAAATAGAAAGGAAGATGAAGGAATGCCTGTAACTCAAAAAAGAAAAGGAGTAGAGAGAGATATGGGGAAAATGAATAAAGGATCAAGAAATTGAAAATGAATAAAACAAAAGAACAAAGAAGATGTAAAGAAGAAGGTAAACGTATAGTACTCCGTGAAGATTGTACATTTGATTTGACAATACATAACATCTACAACACACTAATTAAATTTGGAGTATCTATGGAGAAATTTTAAAGGACAAAATGGAAAAAACAAAAATGTAATGATGTTTATTTTTAGAAAGTGGACAATATTTTAAGACGAACTAAAAAAGAAAAATAAGACAGATAAAATGAGACGGAGGGAATACTCCTTATATTCATTCTCTTTCAATTCCAATCATTGTATTCATACTTAACAAATAATGTAATTTAAAATTTCATTTTATTATTTTCTCGCAGAATTATAATTATTTTCTTTCCTAATTCTTTCCTCTCAACAAAATGCACAAGATATTTGAAAGTACATACAGCGCGCATTATTACAAGCGCTCATATACGTGAAACGAGTATAGTAGTTTAATCTTCAGGTTAATAGAATAGCAGCACGTAGTTATTATCTTATCCTTTAGACTTTTACACACCCAACTATCCGTTCATTCATCCGTCCCCATGCCGTCTTTAATTTGATCAGTATCTGCCATCTTCTTCTTCTTCTTCTTTGAGAGAGAGAGAGAGAGAGAGAGAGAGAGAGAGAGAGGGAGGGAGAATAGAAAAGATCAGAAGAGAAGAAACAGAAAAATAAGCAGCTGATGACTTTGAAAGCATCTGCTTTATTTTCTTGTATAATCTGTGAGTCCCACGTTTTTTTAAAAAATAAATTAGGATATACCCATATGTTGATTATGTTTCCCATGAAATTATTTTATTTTGTTTTGTTTTGTTTTCCTTTTTAGTTTTTAGCCTAAATTTGGTTGTTTAAAGGTGTATGATTGTAATTAGTCTGAATTGAATGTGAAATGATAGGTGGTTATTATCATGTTGTTGAAAAGGTGTGGTTATTAGTAGTTGTGTTGTTGAAAGCACCTTTAATCCCATCAATAATGCAGACTCATGATTACAAGTCAAACCATCATTATTATCCTTTAATTTTCTTGGTTTTTGCTTTGGTGTTTCTTCTTCATTAATTGACAGAGAGGAAGCAGAAGGGTGTTGTAGTTGCTGAAATGGAGTCTGATATGATGAGTGAGAAGCTATTGGAAAACTCAGAAGAAGAGGAAGTGAAGTTAGGGGAGAAGATATGGTGTGAGATGAAGAAGATGTCGGTTGTGGCTCTTCCTGCAATATTTAATAGGTTCTCAACATTTGGGATTAGTGTCATCAGCCAGGCATTCATTGGCCACATTGACCCTATAGATCTTGCTGCCTATGCTTTAGTACAAACCGTGCTGTTAAGGTTCTGCAATGGAGTTCTGGTAAGTTGTGTTTCACACTCCTTCTAAAGCTTTTAAGAAGTATTTGGATCAAACATTTGTCATTACGCCAAAAGATATATCTCTCAGTGAAGGCGCAATTTTATTTCTTCCTTATATACTGTCACAATAGTAGACTTGCCCTTCACCGGCGGTCTCTGCCCAACAATTCCCTTCCCTCCATCACTTGCCAAGTCGAACCTGTAACCTCGCACTGATATCACTTGTTAGATCAAATGCTTATCACTACACCAAAAGTTATAGCAGAAGTCTAACTTTACTTCTCGCCACCAAGTTTTTGAGAGGCAGGTGCTGGACTTGGTCTTGGCCTTTGCCCAACAATTTCCCTAATCAACAATGGATGGACTTGGCCCTTCACCGGTTTCTGTCTAACAATTTCCCTAGTCACCAATCGTTGGACTTAGTCTTTCACCAGTCTCTGTCGAACAATTCCCCTAGTCATCAATTGGTGTACTTAGCCTTTCACCGGTCTCTGGCCAATAATTCTCCTAGTCATCATTGGATTTGACCTTTTTCTGATCTCCGCCCAACAATCCCCTCCCAGTAGATCTTAAGTCCTTGATCCTAACAAGAAGAATTTAAGTTGAATTGTATGTGCAGTTGGGCATGGCAAGTGGACTGGAGACTCTACTGGGGCAAGCTTTTGGTGCAAGACAGTATCACATGATGGGCATATACCTTCAGAGAGCATGGATTATCTTGACTGCAACCACTACATTACTGTTACCTCTGTTCTTCTTCACTCCTCCAATATTTAAAGCATTGGGTCAGGAAGAAGAAATTGCGCGGGTTGCAGGGATCATTTCTAAATGGTTGATACCCGTGGTGTATGGCTTCGTTGTATCGTTTACCTGCCAAATGTACCTACAAGCGCAGAGCAAGAACATTATTATCGCGTATTTGGCCGCAGCTACACTGGCCATTCATGTATTCCTGTCCTGGCTCTTGACAATGAAGTTGGAGTTTGGACTTGCTGGAGCCATGATTTCTACTATATTGGCTTTCTGGATTCCTAATTTTGGTCAGCTTTTATTTGTTATGTGTGGAGGATGTAAAGAAACATGGACAGGTTTTTCATTCATGGCCTTCAAGGATCTCTTGCCAGTAATCAAGCTTTCCTTTTCAGCTGGTGCCATGGTCTGGTGAGCCTATATATATATATTGGCAATTACATGAAAGTTATTTGAACTGATCTTTACAGTCATGAAAATAATTGTTTGATTTGTGTGGCAGTCTTGAACTGTGGTACAATTCCATACTGATTCTTCTGACAGGAAACTTAGAAAATGCTGAGGTTCAAATTGATGCTCTTTCTATATGGTTAGTTGTTTGGTTTTGTTTAGTATTTGAATTGTGTGTTTATGAGCTTCACTTCTCCACTCAACCAAGTGTTCTTTTGCTGCAGCCTCAACATCAGTGGCTGGGAAATGATGATATCTCTTGGTTTCATGGCTGGAGCATGGTAATGCATATATATATATATATATATATATATATATATATATATATATATATATATCAGCTGGGGTTTCCTGAGTATAGCCGGTACCACTCGTGGCGGTTTAGTGCTAAACTTTTAATTTAACAACCCGTGCTTCTTCAAAACTTTTTCCTCAAAAATAAGAAAACATTTTCGTGGAAAAAATTTTCCATTACCAAACAGAGGCCTTAAATTTAAGTAAAACTTTTTCCATCCAACCAAATATTGCTCTTAGTTTAAGTAAGGGCAAAGTTAGGATCATGGTTGATTAAAATTTTGAAAGTTGAAGGACCATGATTAACATGAAAGTTTAAGGAGTAGTTTAGTGGCTAAATTTGAAAGTTGAAAGATTGACAGTTAAAATTGAAAGTTTATTACTAAACATAGTGGTGATACTATACTCAAGGACTTCAGTTGGTATTAACCCGCATAAATTAAAGTCTTTTGATTTGCTAGCTTGGCTTGTCTTGCTTTCACACTCTTGATATTGTTATGCATTGTATTTGGGGTTCTAGTGTTCGGGTTTCAAACGAGCTGGGAAAGGGGAGTGCAAAGGACGCGAGGTTCTCCATCAACGTGGTTGTGCTGACATCCTTTGCAATCGGAGTTGTGCTATTCTTGTTTTTCCTGTTCCTGCGTGGGAACCTGGCTTATCTCTTCACAGACAGTCAAGATGTGGTCGAGGCAGTTGATCAACTGTCACCTCTATTGGCATTTTCTATACTTCTGAACAGTGTTCAACCAGTTCTTTCTGGTAAGCTAAGCTCTGCTAAAATCAAATGAATATATAGCAGAGTTCCATTTCCTCGTACCAATGGTTTGTGGTTGGGTTTTGGTTAATTGCTACTAACTACAATAATACAGGTGTTGCTATTGGGGCTGGTTGGCAGAGTACAGTGGCATATGTTAACCTGGGATGCTATTACTTAATAGGAATCCCAGTTGGTGTCGTTCTTGGTTATGTCATCAAACTGCAGGTTACGGTGAGTATAAATCAGATTATTGACTTGGTAATCACAAGATTTTAATGTTCATTCCTAGTGAAATGAAGTGGTTTTTTGATCTTCTTAATTTGAGCCGATCAGTTATATGCAATCTATGCTGGTTTTTTATTGTACTTTGCTGGCTAGGGCCACAAAACGAGATTTAACCCCTCAGTCTGAAGCGTGATGAATATAATTGTGGCGCAGGGTGTGTGGATAGGAATGCTGTTTGGTACGTTTGTACAAACCATTGTTTTGCTTGTAATCACTTTCAGAACCGATTGGGACAAACAGGTAATTGCCATCACTTCCCCCTTCATTTGAGCGGAACCAAAACTTGATTGAACTTGAATTTTAATTTTTTAATCAAATGGAGTTTTGAGTTTGACTATTTGTGCTTATTAGTTGGTCTATTATAAGTTTATAACTAACCTTACTCACAGACATAATCTCATTCATATGTCACATCTGTTGCTATTCGCCTATAACAGGTTGCAGATGCTCAAAAGCGTGTCCGAAATTGGGTGGTAGAACCTGAACCTGGAGATGCAAATTAAACGCCTAGGATAGGTATAGAATGCTTAATATGTATCCAAGACTATCTGCATTTACATTAACATGTTACGTTATTGTATGGTTTTTGTTGAGTTTACACCCATAGAACAGGGTCTAAAATAACATTCATATTATGTGTCTATAGTTAATGGATTATGTCTGTAAATAAATTGAAGACACATATATAATATGTTAACTACAGAATGAATTTTGTATATGTAAATGAGGGTCGGTTTGAAAAAAGGAAATAACTTCTGGAAAATGATTCATTTTCCAGAAAATATTTTCTTTTTTTTTCCGTGTTTGACTGCACATCAGAAAATTGTCTTTGTGTATTTGGTTTATTTTTCAGAAAATAACTTGAATTGTATAATTAAATATTTTAATTATTTTTTTAATTAAAATTTAATCTCATTGCAAATTTATACATTGTCATAAAATGCTGAAAATTCTCCAATAATGCCTCAATTTCTTCTCTTTGTCGCCTTCCTCCTCTTTCTCGTCGCCTCCGCCACTGCCCATGGTGGCCACGATGACCATGATTTCGACCCCGGCGAATTCGAAAAGCCTGACTTGAGATCTCGGCCGTTGATTATGGTCAAGATATGGTGCCTGATTATCGTCTTCTTGGTTCTGGAAACGCAGTTCGGCGGCGGCGTGTTTCTGGGGACCGCTCTGGTTTCTATCGGTGCCTGATTATTGTCTTTGCCCACTGATTTTCAGCCCGACAACTTGGAAGGTGTGAGAAAAGAGGCGTGAGGAGAGGATAGAGAGAATATGCCTGAGGTGAGGGTAGAAAACTTGGAAAATGACTTCCCCAAAAAAAGGGAAGTCATTTACCGAAAAAGAGCAGCTATTTTACATTGACTACAACTTATTTTCCTTTGACTTATATTTCCCCCCACCCCACCCTAGCCAAACACTGGAAATCCGAAAAATGAAAGATACACACACACACACCACCACCACCACCAACACCATCACCAACACCACCAACACCATCATCACTACCACCACCACCACCACCACACTACTACAGAATACATTACAACGTCTCCATTTTAACCTCGATTTTTTATAAACCGATGTTAAAATTTTTTTATAAATTTTTTTTTTATTTTTTAAAAAATACATATAACGCCGGTTGTCTCAAATGACCGACGTTATATGTATTTTAATAAAAAAAAAAGAAATTAAAATCCTATACGACGTTGGCTAACAAAAGAGCCGACGTCGTATAGGAATTTATTTATTTTATTTAAATAAGTTACGACGTCGGTTATAGGTAAAATCGACGTCGTAACATCAATAAAAAAAATTCTTAAAAAAATATATTCGATATACAACGTCGGTTAAGAGTATAGTCGACGTCGTATTTTTTTAAATAACCGGCTAAAACCCTCGCAAAGACCAAAATCGTCTAACAACAAACGTACCTTGTTTCTTCACCATACACACCAATACACCAGCCGTCGCCCATTGTTGTCGTCATCACCGTTAACCCCTCGACTTCGACGTCGCCACCGCCATCGCCCCTTCGTCGTCGAACGCTAGCTGCTGTCGCCTCGTCGTCGTCAAACGCCAGCCACTGCAAGAGACGTCGCGTCTCCACCAAGCGTCGCCGGACGTCGCCTCGCCGCCACAACCCGCCGCACGTCGACGCCTCGCCGCTGCTGCTCGCTGGACGTCGCCGTAAGGTAAGGTTTATTTATTTATTTTTAAATTGTTTTTATATATATTTTGAATTATATTTTATATATTTTGAATTTTATAAATTATTATTGAGTATATTTAGAAATTTTAGGAATAGTTGTGTATATATTTTTAATTTTATGAGTTATTGGGTAAATTATGTATTGTTGTGTGTATATTTGGAATTTTATAAAATATTGTTTATATATTTTCAACTTTTAACAATTGTGTATATATATTTCAAAATTTTTGGAGTTATTGAGTAAATTATGAATTGTTGTGTGTATATTTGGAATTTTATGAAATATTGTTTATATATTTTTAATTTTTAGAAATTGTTATCTATAAATGTTGAATTTTAGAATTAATGTGTATGTTATGAAATTATTGTGTTTATATATTTCGAATTTTTTAGAATTATAATATATATTTCAAATTTTATGAATAATTGTGTATCTATTTTGATATTTTGAATTCTATAAATTATTGTGTGGATATTTCAAATTTTAGGAATTGTTATATATATATATATATATATATATATATATATATATATATATATATATATATATATATATATATATATATATATATGTTGTGTTTTAATAATTATTATATATGTTTATATTTCAAATTTTAGTAGTTATTGTAGTAGTTATTATTATAGAAATTTGTTAAAATAGTTTTAACAAAAGTTTAATTAGGGTTATTATTATTTTAGATTGGCTTGTGATGGATAAAAGTTGGATGAAAGCTAATCGACTTAGTACGGAATGCGAAGATGGAGTTAGAAAATTTTTAGACTTTGCAAAGAATAAACTTCCGAATAGTAATAAGAGGTTCGTGTCCTTGTAAGAAATGTTGTAATCAGAAAAGATTATGTGAAGATGACATATATGACGATATAATCGTTAATTGGATTAATCCATATTATACACAATGGATTTACATATATTATTAAACTAGTGATACCAAGTATTTACATATATTTTATGTCTTATATTAATAGGTGTATGGCTGCAACAAGCATGTTGAATGGAAAGAAACAAAATTGTTCACCAAAATGGACTACATGTTCGGTAAGTACTTCATTCACTTTGTAAAACATGCAAACTTATTGTTTTTATTAATTTTTATTTTATTTTATTGTAATTCAAATGTAGTGTGCTATACAAAAAGGAACTACCGAATGTGGTTATTATGTGATGAAATTCATGTTGGAAATTGTTTCCAACAACCTATGCAAAGGAATGGATAAGGCAAGTAATTTAATAATATATCTTTCTTCTTCAAATTTTTAAAAATACTTGCTTATTTATTATTTTTATTTCTTTTGAAATTTGTAGACTTTGAAAAGACAAGGAAGATGGCCCTACAACAAACAAGAGATTTATGAAGTTAGAGACAAATGGTCTAAGTTTATTATTGATGAATGAGTTAATAAAATGCTTCTTAGTTGATACTTTACGTTTAAAATTAGTTTATGTTTATTGACTTGATGTTTAGTAGTTTTGATGAATTGTGTTATTTATATTAGTTTCATGTTTAGTAGCTTGAATTAGTTTAACGAATTGTGTTCTTTATATTAGTTTCATGTTTAGTAGCTTGAATTAGTTTAATGAATTGTGTTATATATATTAATTTCAAATTAGTTGATGTTGAATGTTAAATTGCTGCACAGGTTCTGAAAATTGATGTGGATTATTGAAACTGTAAAACTGTACAGATTTTGGTAGAAATCATAAAATAATTTTAGTATTAAAAAAATAACTATATGACATCGGGTTTCAGTGAAACACCGACGTCGTAGTAATTAAAAATTGTAATAATTAATATACGACGTCGGATATTTAGTAAATATTCGACGTTGTATTATTTAAAAAAAAGTATTTAACTTAAGACGTCGGTTATTTGTATAAACCGACGTCCTTAAGTGAATTATTTTTTTTTAAAAAAAATATATACGATTTCGGCCTTATCTAAAAGGCCGACGTCATATATTAATTATTTAAAAAAAAAAAAAAACAATACGACGTCGGGTGTATACAAATAGCCGACGTCATAAGTTAATTTTTTAATTTTTAAAAAATATACGACGTCGGTTGTTTAACTGACGTCGTATTATTTATGTACTACGTCTTGAAGAAGGACGATGTTAAATGGGTCAAAAAACTGACGTTAAAGCTCTTTTCTGTAGCAGTGCCACTACCACTACCACCAGTTTCACCACAACCGGCCACCACTATCAGTCTACCACCATTATGGTTCGCTGAAAAATATTTTTCGTGAATTTGATGAAAATTGACTTTTCCTTTGTTTGGTTCATGGAAAACATTTTCCTCAAGAATGAGGAAAACATTTTCCATCCCCCCCCCCCCCCCCCCACCTCCCCTGGTACAAGTAGGACAATTATGCGCTCACTAACTTTTATTAATTACCATTATTATTGTGTAGGGGTATAATTATCTAAATACTCATTATTCCTTACAATTTCAAACTCAACCAAACAATGGAATCAATATTCCCAATAATTTATTTTTCACCAACCAAACAATTTAAATGATATTTCTGATAATTTCTTTTCCATGGAATTTCAATTCCATTTTCCCCTCAAATATTTTCTGCGAACCAAACGGGCTGTTAATGTGGTGGGAGCTGAAGGTCTTCCAAGTTGATAAGACTAGGTTGGTGACTATTTACTCTTCTTCTTATTATTATATAAGGGCATTTTAGTCATTGTTCATTCATTCCCTTTCAATTCCCAATCATTATATTCATGTTTACCAAACAATGTAATTTAAATTCTCATTTTATTCTTTCTCTCTAATTCCCACCTCCCAACCAAACGCCATGTTAGGATATTTGAAAGTACATACAACGTCGATTATAAGCGTTCATATATATATATATATATATATATATATATATATATATATATACCTATATATATATATATGTATATATATATATATGTATACATATATATATACCTATATATATATATATATGTATGTATATATATATATATATACATATATACATATATATATATATATATATATATATATATATATATATATATATATATATATATATATATATATATATAAGAGTACGTGCTCATATGTGGTCATGTCATTAGGTGTGGCAGTGTGGTCGTATCTGTGTCGTTGAATCAGTTTAATTTAACGGCAGTGGCTAGTTCTGAGGATTTTCTCGCGTTTTGGTAAGTGAGGCTGTTATGGTAATTACAGGGGCCATTTATAGCGGCCGGGTTCCAGAATACACCAACTGTGTTGACAACATGCACCAATAGTGTAATAAAGCACACCACAGTGAAACACACCAATAGTGTATTTCCGAACACTGTATGATGTATTTATTCATATCTAATGACGCATTTTTTGTGATGTGTACCTAATTTGTGTATGTTTTTTGTTGTGCATTTCATAACATGGATGTTGTATATTTATATAACAATTG